AGATCCCAATACCCCCAAGTTGATCTGGACAATGCCGTTAGAGCACTTAATACTGCCTAATAGTTTAGAAATAAAAGTGTGATTTTTTCCGGAGAGAAACAAACCTAGATCAAATTTCACCTTTAACAACCTACCTTCAACATCCTCGCTGGCCACGGTGTAAATTTTGTAGGATTTGCCAGCTTCCACTTGGTGAGATGGCAACTTCTTGGGTTTATCAACAGAATAGACAAAACCTTCTTCTCCTTCTTCAAATGTTGAGGGATCAGTTCCTTTTGTGGAGGAGTTGCTAGAGATTAGCAAGACTTCAGAATCATTTTCTTCTAATAGAGGAGATTCTGATAGACTATAGTTTCCAGTAAGAATTCTGGCAACAGCAAGATATTCCTCATCAGGTTCATTGGTTACTGCACGTGAATTTGGGGTCATTTTGAGCTCTCCATTATCTCGCGTTCCAAAAACCGTAGAATTGGAACTATCTTCTATGTCAGAGATCGTAGAGTTATCAACTTCTTCAAGTTCATTCATGCTTTTGGGAATATACTCTTCCAATTTTTGACTGGCTTCTTCCTTTTCTATTTTTGAGCCATGCTCCTTTGTGGAAATCTCACGCATAGGACTGATTTGACTCATTGTCAGTGCGGAAATTCCTGGATTATCGATGGGCGAGATTGGTGAAAGAAGCAAAGGTAGCTCCAAGAATGGATTATCCATTAAAATAGGTTCAGCTAGAGAGTTACGAAGGGTTGCACTACTTGCTCTCTGGAAAATTTTACAAATTAATGGGAACAATGAAATTCTAAAAAAATATGATCGTTTACATGTTTATTCGAATACATCCGCTTGATCTCTGCATCCAGCTCCGGGTCGATTCGGAAACCATGACGCCCCGTCGATGTCAAGAATCCACAAGTACGTGGTAGCAAACCACCCAGGAATGCTGTCAGGTAGGTTGCCGAAGGAAACGCTTCTGCTTCATTTGACAACGGTCGCGTGAGCATCTCCTAAAAATCGAAATTGCGG